TTGACACAGAAAACTTTCCTTTGGGTTCAAAACAATGACTAATTTCACTGAACTTCACCATCATTTCATCAACCAAACAAAATGTCCTCCTGCTGTCTCTGGGACATTTACAGCATTTCTTTTGATTGCCAGCGTATTTTCCTTAGCGGGAAATCTTCTCGTGATCATAGCCTTCATAAAAACTCCGACACTAAAATCAAGAACAAATTACTACATTGTCAACATGGCAGTTTCCGACTTGGTGTCCGTTTTCTTCACCTGGCCGCTCTTTGCTACCGAAGGGATGCTAAAAGCAGATGGAAGTCTCATTACAGACATTGAAGTCTCCGTATTTTTTTGCAAGCTTGGGATTTATTCACGCGCTGTTTCGTATGTGGTTTCAGTTGCAAGCCTGGTGCTGATTGCCGTGGACAGATTCACTGCAATTGCCTTTCCACTGAAAGCTGTCGACATTACTCGAAGGATTCGAGCCTTTTTCCTCCCTTTAAGTTGGGGGGTTCCTTTGTTGGTTCAAATTCCCTTTTTTATTTACAGTAAAATTGTCAAAACAGAACGGTACACTTTTTGTAGAACCGTTGCGAAGAGCTCGATGCTGCAAATCTACAGTTTGGTTGGTTTTTGCCTGGTTTATTGTATGCCGTTAACTGTAATATTTGTTCTCTATCCTCTTATTGTAAGACGCCTAAAGAAGCAGGCACAGTTTAATATAAGCCATAACAGACAAAGAATTCTCCAGTTAAAGATCAAAAGGATTCGACAAAATCAAAACATAGTGAAGATGTTTAAATCAATAGTGTTTGGTTTTTTTATTTGTTGGACGCCCATGTACGTCTACATGTTCCTAAAATCTCTTTATCCGTCAATATTCGACAAAGATAGATGTCTCGTAATGGTGGGTTTATTCTATTATTTCTGCCCATTGCTTAGTACAGCAGTAAATCCCTTCATTCTTGTTGCGTTCAGTTCTCATTTCCGTGCCGCTGCGAGGAATTTATGCACGTTCAGTTTGTTTCGGAAACTCTTATTTTGCTTTCCTCTAATACGTGTTTCACCGAAGGAAAACATTGCACTTCCTGCTCTGAAATGATGTTATCATAGCTATTTCATTAGTAAAGCAAGGCCAGATATTTGTACTGAGTCATCTCATAAATGTAAATCAACCAATTTATTTGTAAAAGAGCTTTATTTCTCATGTAAATTAGGTGATGAATTAAATATTCTCAGATCGTGAATCTATCTCATAATGTTCCTAAGCTGGCGAACGCGCAGATATTGGCAGATGCTTTTGGCTCATCCGCTACGTTCCTTCAACCAGATGCTACTTACGAAACCCGAAGATACACAACATCTACAACTACAGTTGTTGTGGGCCAAGCATCAGTTTTTTGGCACCCATCAACTACCTAAAATGCTTTCATAACGTTTTGAAAACATAAGAGGCCGCTTATCAAAACAAAGTTTAACCGTTGTTTAACAAAACCGCCTCCTAAACTATCCTGGGTTTAGCTGAACCTTTTATCTGAACATTCATATTTGCGAATAATTTCAAGAGGGCCAACGGCTAGCAGTATAAGGACGCTCATTTAATGAGAACAAACCCCCTTATAAAGAATACACAAGGCCCACTGCTTGCGTAAAACTGCGGTTTGGATTAGACCTCGCGTAAATAACCGGTCCAATATATTTACTTAAGGCAAGAAAAGAAATAAGATCACCCAATGCCAATTCCTCTTGAGATTCACAAAGAGTAATCTCCTAACTTTCCATACAAAATTCTTCCTTTTCTTAAAGTAGTTCACTTCACATAAGAATATTCTTTTTTCTAGTCTTGAGTAAACAGCGTTCAGTATGTCACGTTCTTACCATTAAAAAGAAACATGCTGTTTGGATTTGATCTAATGGGTTTACTTAATGCATAGTCATCAAAGCACGTTTGTAGACTATTTTTATCGACGTTAAACAGGAAAGCAACTATCAGGCAGCTGCACGGAAATACTAGGAGATGGATTTATCGTATTTCCCAGAGCCTCATTTATACACGCCTTAAAAGGAAAGTTTTAGAAACAAAATTGCAGCCAACAAAGCTTCTTAGAACAAACCAAGTTTTGATGCGATTCCACTGGCTGCTTGCCTTCATCAGCTGTTTAGCGATTAAATTCATTAAAGGGGGTAAGTTTCTAAAGAAATTGGGGTGCTGCGTCGGTGGGAGAGTACAAGGTAATTTGATATTATCAACTGAGTCGATAGCGTAAATTGGCTGACGCTCCAAACGTCAGCTTTCAAACTCTTTGCATTGGCCAATTTACATTATCGACTCAGTTGATAATACCAAATTACCCTGTTTATTAATTGATTCATTTCTTCGTGCGATTTCATTTTTGTAGTTAAAGTAAAAATGGAATGGATGTGGATATAACATAGCGTCTTTATTTAGAATATTCAACAATTACTCACCGAAGTTAAAGTGATGAATATTTAACGAGCCGCGAAGCAGCGAGTTAGATATCCATTACGTTCACCGACACCGAGATGAAGGATTGTTTTATTGTATGTGCTACTGCCAAAGAAAAATTTGTTAATTCCTGTCAATATATCGAAAAATAGTCGGAAAGTAAACACTTGACGCGCGATTTTGTCTCTTCTGCTGTTCAGAGGTGAATAGTACTCGTCAGGAGAGGATGTACTTGCTAATCACTTCCAAACCAGCCAATTAAAAAAGTATTCTTCACCACTGAGGTCAATAATAAATGTGAAAACGAATCTACTTGATAGAACAAAAAAATTTTACACATTTAGGAATAAGATTGAAAAAATTTGCGGAATACTCGATAAACAAATTAGCTCTTAGCATGAAAAAAGTAACTCTGCGCAGGAGCCAAGTGGCCGACAAGACTTTTCCGGTCTACGAAGTACGGAATGAGTAGGAGTGCTGCTCTTCCCCCTGGAACAGACCCGAAAGGGAAACGTAACAAGGAAACTCCGCCAGGGCATTGACTAGAACAACGGCGGATGGTGATTTGAGGCACGGTAGTTGACTATATAGGAACAATCCAAACATTGCGTTTAGTATTTTTATTTATTTCTATTATTCTGCCTGCATGAATACATGAATAAACATAACCCAAAAGTAAAATTTGAACCTGATTGTAAATTAGCATCGTGTTGATCGATATCGTCTATTTGTCGCCATGGTAACAGTGTAACACTCACATCCGAAGGAATTACTCCCCTCCAGCCAAATCAAAGCATCTCTTCATGCGGACGAAGCAGCACAACTCGCCAGCACAGCTAATGGAAGCCTTCCTGCACATTTCAAGCAGCACAAAGCAACCTCTCTGTTGGAGATATGTAAATTACGTTATTCTAAATAGTTTACTCTTTTAAGAGAACCAATGACAAAGAAATGTATTGTAATGATAAATTTCTAGGGCGCTCTCTCCATTGGCTCGTGATTGGTTTTAGTTTTGCAACTGATTGATTGAGAGAGTAGCGCACGTTTCCTGAACCAAGGTAAAGGCGAAACATGGAAAAAAATCTCAAAAGTTATGTTTTACTAAAAAAATTCAAAAAGTTACCAGCAACCGAAAAATCATGATTCAGTGCTTCACTTCGTTCAGGAATTGTTAAACAATGAGGATCTCAGGTTTCCTCGAAAAGACCATGGTCAATTATCGTAATCGTCAACGTTATCACCATCGCTATCGACATCGTCATTATCGTCGTCGTTGTCATCATTATCATCATCATTGTCATTATTACCATTGTCATCAGTATCGTCATCGTTGTCATTATTACCATTATTATCAGTATCGTCATCGTTGTCATTATTGCCATCGTCATCAGTATCGTCATCTTCATCATAACCACCATCATTAACATTTATCGTCATCGTCATCGTTATTGTCTTCGTCATGGTCATCCCTATCATTACAGTTATTGATGTTATCACGGTTGTAATGACAGCTATGATGATGGTGATGATTCACATTATGACCGCGATTGCAATTCGTGACATGTGCGTAGAGTGAGTCAGGCACTCACCACCAAAGGAGGAATTGAAGGAAGAGGGGATGGTAGTTTTTCCTTTGCGCATCCGAAGAATTTATCCAGACATTTAAGCATTTTACACCTGTCCTCCCCTGCTCTCCTCCAGCATCTGATTTTTCTTTTAATACAACGTTTCTGTTAAAAAAAAAAATGAATATGATATCGATTATGATCAGAAAATGGAAAAAGAACTCATAATCTTTTAAAATTCTAATAAAGGGAGAAATGAATCGAGGTTGCAGACGTATGAAAATTGATTATATTTAGAATAAACGCTCAAATGTGCCCTCTTTGACAATCGCAGACGACTTGTTTGAGTTAAAGATAAAAATGCAAGAGGTAATTTTGGTTATATTCAGTGGCCCTAAAATATTAGTCAATAAAATATGTTCTAAAATATTTTTCAGGCAGATTACCGCCCCGTTAGCTTGTTAAGGGTGTTTCTTTCCCCTTTTCCTTTTCCTTAAGGACCACATTTACCATTTAACAACACAAATGAATACGTTTTACTACTACAGAAAATAGTAGTTATTTAAGAAATAGATAGCACTTTCTATCGGTATTAGGAGAATACGAGAAAAGTTTGTAGGTTACTCACCTCCTCCTCCGATAGGAAGTGCGATCAATTACTTTTTATAACATAGACTAAAAATGTTTCAATTTTGCATGCGTTTACCGTCGCAATAAACGATAGGTTTCTAACCAATCGGGGCGCTGGTAATAATTCAGTTATTATATCTAACAAACTGGTTGGTGTCTTCACTTACCAAGAAATCTGGTGGCTCTTCGTGGTCATTGGCAATAAGAGTTGTTTCTGGTAATCCATTGTCTCTCACAGCCTCGGCCATTTTAAGGTCCTGTTGCTCAGTTATGAAATTATACGAAGCCCTGTAAATTGCCACTTCATTGGAGAACACGTGCACCGCGAAAGCTGCCAGAAGCAATAACGCAGTGAAAGACTTCATGGCGACGAAATGTTATCAAGAGTGCTGTGTCGAGGCAACAAACATGCCTTGATATAGTCTCGGAAAAATCTCATTTAATTTTAAACTCTGCATACAGAAACAAAAGTTGATGCCAAGATGTGTTTGGACAGCTTCCGTTGCCGAGTGCTCGCTGAGATTAACTTCACTGTCAAGCGGCTCTAAATTTGCACAGATGCTAAAGAACGAACACGGAAACCTATCTCATTCTAAAGGTAAGATTCCCGCCCAGTTGGAGAAGTGTTTAATTGTGTTATCGCTGTCTCCGTCACGGAAGCAAAATTTGTTTTAACCATCAAGCGCAGGGAGGAATAACCTCAGTCCCTTATGAAGATTCGGACGACATACTTTCCGATTTTTGTGCGGTCCACTGAGATACAAAGAATTTGTTGAAAAGCTATATCGTCTATTTGGTTCGCTTTCATTATAGACTGAACATAATTTAATATTCGCAGTCCAAATTAAAATTATACATTTTTACTTTTTATATTACTTTAACTATAAAAGTTTCACAATTATTAAAAGTATTTTTTTATTGGGGAGGGGAACACAAAAAAAGTCTTAAAGTTTACAAATATGACATATGAGATTAAAAGTTTGTCTTTCTTTAACATGAAACCGTAAGGGGTACTTAACTTTCAGACGAAAAAAATACTTAGCTAAAAATATAAGATAACTTGGTTTAATTAACCCAACGAAACCTTTGTTATTCAGATAAAGAGCAGCAAAGCAAATTGCTTTTCCATGTTTGCCAATCAGTGTAGGGATACAATAAGCAAAAGATAATTAAAATTTAAAACTCATCTGCATGAGTACAAGTACTTAAGTCAAGATTAGTGTAACTTCTGCATCAAATTACGTAAGAGAGTAAAACCAAAGAAGTTCAGGATACTTTTGAAACTATACTGCCAATTGCCCCCACATTTGTCAAGTGACCTATTCATGGTATTTCTTGCACCAGATGCATATTGAACACTTAATTGCAAATATGGAAACAGAACACAAGCAGGAGATACTACACTTCTAGTTCGTAATATATTTGTAAAAACAAATAATTTGGTTTCAAATATTTATTACAAAAGATGCTAAACAATGCTATTTACATTTGAACTAACTGCTTCAAATTGATATACTTTTCCATAACCACCTAAGGCATATGTCTCTAACACTGACTAAAAAACCAAAGCAAGCTTTACGATAAGTTTCCCATTCTGAAAACACGAAAATTTCAACCTTTTACGGACACTATCTGGAGAAAGAAATTTTTATGCATTGTTTGACATTAATAATCCTTTTGAATCTGGGTCGATTGCTGTAATTTCCCAATAAGTTAACTTTAATAACTTCCGTCGTCATCGTCATCAAAGTAGTCGACTTTTCTTGCTCGGTATGCGTCTTTGAATTGTTCATCAAACAACTCAAGATCTTCCTCGTCACGTAATACACCCTGATGAATAAAAATGAGATAAATTGAGGTTAACAATGTTTTTAGATGACAACCAGAAATACTGTTGGGTTAACTTTGTAGTCCTATTTATTTCTGTAGGTATAAGCAGAACATTAACCATTATTTTTCAACGAGGCAGAGATCTGCCTTTATTCTGAGAAAACCGTTAAAGGAGATGTGATAATCAAAAACCATACGCATTTTTCTCCTACAATCAAAAAGTATATGTAAAAATTTACCACTCACCGCGTTTAGAGTTTCGAAAGAGTTATATAACCATTAAAAAATTATCTTCATATGAGCTACGAATTCGACTATGAACGCCAAAATCAGTTTATCCCCACAAACTGCTGCTGCTCTGTTTATCATTACCACCTTATTCAGTTTGAGCAAGAATGTTTTGTGTTTAGTTTCCAGTTGTTCAAACAGATGGTTACGAGGTGAAGAAAAGAGTGAGACTCTGACCGTAGCGTCCCAGATAAGCTACTTGCTAGACAAAATTCAAAATGGCGTCGTTCGTGGTCGGATTTATAACTCATTTAAAAGCAATTTTCGTTAGGTTTCTCTTTGGGATCTCAAAACGCAGTACTTTCGACAAGCGGAGACACAAAGCAATACTTTTTCTGGACCATACTTTTCCTTTGAAAAAATTGCTTGAATGGTAGAAAAGCACCGAAACGAAGAGAGCAATCCACATACACTGTAGAGACGGGAAGGCTAAGGATGGAGAATGATGGATTGAGTATTTCGAAATTTTTGGCTCAGAAGCCTTTTTCAGGCCTTTTACTGAGTTTTTCAAACTTGAAAGGAACTAAACCTAAGCAATCAGCCACGTTCGAAGTGTCATCTGGAAGGACGAATTGTGCGACAAGTAGACGACGTAATGTAATACAAATACTACTATTGTGCTACATAAATATCAATAACAGTCAAAAGACACAATAACAGAACACAAGAGGTATAGGAAATATCCACCTTAGGTAAGAAACCAAGAAGTTTGGACGCGTGTTCTTGCAGCATCCTCTGCCTTTCTCTTTCAATAATTTGCCTCCTGTATTCCTCCATTCTTTCTTGTTCACGACGAGCCTCCAGTTCTGCTTCCTGATAAAAAGGAAAAAAAATAATTTTCGTAAATGAAACAATTATCAACAAAAAAAAATAGAGGACATTACACGGCCGCGCGGAGATACAAAGCTTCGAGTGTTGAAAAATGTTTAAAATAATGGCCTTTAGAATTTTTTATTTCGGAAAAAACCCAGCCATAAGCAAAATAATTTTTTTATATTTTTATATGTAACCATAGCAACAGTAATCTTTTATGACCTTCACGTGTGAAGAAACATGTTTTCGCGCGAAAGCTCATTTGGTATTTCATTGGTGTATAATAAGACAACATATCTGCTGCACTTAGAAGAAACGTGTCGTCTAACCCTTTCCCTCTGGAACTGAATTCTCCTGTCCTCAATCAGTTTTTCTACTGCTTTCTTGTGTTCCAATTGCTTCATTCGTCTCTTCTGAGCGTTCATTTGTTCAATTCGGTCATCTTCTGCGAATTTCTCGAGCATCTAAAAGAGAAACATTTTTAGTGTCAGCAAACAATGGTGGAATGAGCACGATTCCTCTCAGGAAATCAGTCCGGTCAGTGGAGTAAAACGCATCGAAGCGCAAGCAACACTTCGTGTAGAATACCTTTCTTCTAAATTCGTCTTCTTCTTCCCTCTCTGCTTGTCGCTTCATCTCCTTAAACTCAAGTTGCTGTCTACGCGTGCTCTGCAAGTCCAACCGCTGGCGAAGCCTGTTTTCAATCGCCATCTAAATAAGGATAGAAGCAAAACGAAGAGTCTCAATAAATGCGCCTTCATGATAAGATGCGCGTGGGAAATTAAGAGCATTTCTTTTTAGATTTGTTATCTTGGTGTTTTCCTTTCATTTAACATAATGAAATAATCCTTTAGTAGATTGGCCAGTAATCATTTGGCTCTAATTTTTGTTATTCACATAAATTTTCAAGATTACAATATTTTTTTCACTTCATTCATTCCAAAACAGACATCTTTACACTTTCCTTTCTATACAGTTGAAGTTCCAAAGTTTAGTCACTGAGGATGAAGGAGATGCAATGTATCACAACAAAATTAAGGAGACTAAGAAAAGCCTTTACCTTTTCCTTCTGTCTCTCCATTTCCTCTTGTTCCTCGAGATACAGCTCTGTTCGAATTCTGAATGGAAAAAGGAAAAAAAAAGAGATTGATGACACCGTATAATTAACAGTTCCATTGAAATCAAATATGCAGTTGCACAATCTTTAATCCATCATTCCGTTAGTTCGTTTGTCCAAGCGTCAATTGATTATCTGTTCGATTTTTCTTTTCTGTACCTTTCCATTTCTTCCCTAGCCTCGGTTTCTTCTTGGATTTGTTTTGTAAGCTGAAAGGAAATACGTACATTAAAAAAACAAAGTTTTAACATCATTTTTTTTCTTCCTCTGCACATTAAATTGCACTTAACACAAAAATTAGCTATAAACCATTCCCTTTAGACAACAAAGAGAGCGAAAACCACCATTTGCATTTAGTTTGGATCTCTCGTTCTATGTTAAAACTGTACTGATTATTCTTCAAGCCAGAAAACAAAATTTAACAACTCAACAACGCTCTGACCAGCTCGCTTCTCTCTAATAAGCCCCCTCTACCAGCCTATCCTTAAAACAAACAGTTAGCGTAAAACACACGGTACACATTTGAGCTGGGTAGCGTTGCAGGTCAAAATATTCTAGCAGTTTAAAACCTGTCGTAGTTTCTGTAGATAACATAACATAACATAACCAAAAAAAAGCAAAGCACGCATAGCGGGAGTTCAGAGTAAAAACAAAAAAACAGAAAAATAAAATAACTCAAACTGCGGCCCTCGATGAGTTCTTATTAAGTCTCTCCCTCTCTTGGAAGTGTCCTTCTCCAGTATATTCACCTCCCCTACCGGAAAGCCCTGGGAACTAATGAGCCCTTAGAAGGCTCATTACAATACACACGCTAATACTCGTCATAGTATGATCATAATACCGACCTTCTGTTGCACAGCTGCCATACTCTCTTCTTGCTGTTTCTTCTTCTCCATTCTATCTTCCTCCCGTTGCTGTTGCACTTTTGCAAACTCCAAAATGCGTTCATTCTCCTCCTCCATCAAACGACGCTCGTGCGCTTTCCACTCAGCTCGCTTCGTCTTGAACTCTTCAATGTACCGCTGAGTAGCCAATTGTTTCTGCAGTCTATTTTCAAGCTCCCTTGTGACATTAACAATGAATAGTTTTAAGTAAGCACTTTTACCGATACATTTAGCTATGTATGGGTTAAGAATACGTCTCCCTCTATCTGTTTAAGAGACTACTCACTACTAGTTACGAGTTCAAATTATTTGTTGTGTGTATGTGTTAAGCCAGTGTAGGAGAAGGCAGTATGCGTGAACGTCTTGGGTACATGAAATAACATGTACCCCTCCCCCCCCCCTTCAATAATAATGTGTGCTAAACTGAAAAAATGGTGTACACTAAATAAATGTTTGATTTAGCTTCTAAACACGAATGAAGTCACAAATTACAAAACTATAGAGCAATTTCCGATTGATTGCCGAAAGAAAAAATATGCGTGTGCATTGGTTTTGCATTGATTCGCTCTGTGATTGGTCCAGAAAACTTGCGCCACTTTCTCAACCAATCAGATGCAAAACTAACTCCATTCACGACTTGCATTTTCCGCGCTTGAGGCAGTTCGGTTTTGTTTATACTGAGTTCTCACTGGCTCTTAGAGGTATTTTCCTATCTCCTGATTCCCCTTTGTGATCACTTTGGTTTGGTATTGCGACACTCGATCGAAAAGCGCTAAAATAGGCAGTGCCAAGTAACCGAAGAACAAACTTAACACCTAAGAGTGAACATCTTGCTACACACCTTTGATCTTCTTCGTAGATCTTCCTCACGATCTCATCAATCATGAGCTTTTCTTTCAAGAATTCCTCATAAGCCTCCTGTTTGCGGCGCTCCTTTTCTGCCAGCTGCTTCTCAAGTTGCTCCTGATAACGGACACTTTCTTCCCAGCGTTGATTTTCTTTCACTCGTTCCACTTCTTGTGCTCGCTTGTATTCCTCTTGCATCTTAACATGTATTTCATCATCCCGTTTCTGGGTTCGCAAAACGGGCAAAGGAAAAGAAAGAAAAGAAACAAATTGAGAAAAAGATATTTTCACGAAATGTAGAACTCCTCTAAAAAAACACTTCTTCATCCTGTACGCAAGTGCCTGATTTTCAAATTGATCTGAAACCTACAGAAACTATCAAAGATATTCTGCCAACTTTCACATAATGCTGAGATCTCTAAACAATTAAAACACATATTTACATTTGATCTGAAACCCACAGAAACTATTAAAGATATTTCGCCAACTTTCAAACAGTGCTGAGATCTCTAAACAATTAAACATATTTACATTTGATCTGAAACCTACAGAAACTATCAAAGATATTCCGCCAACTTTCAAACAATGCTGAGATCTCTCATCAATTAAAACACATGTTTACATTTGATCTGAAACCTACTGGAAACTATTATAGATATTCTGCCAACTTTCAAACATTGCTGAGATCTCTCAACAATTAAAGCACTCATATTTACACAATGTAAGGTGGACATTACTTAGCAGAGGACTCATGAAAAAGTTTCAAATTTTCAAAATATTTTTCAATCGATGTAAATACAAACAGTTAACTTAACTTGAGGTAGAAAAGTACAAAAACTAAGGCTAACTCACAAGTAGGAAATTATTTTCCCATAAGAGTCAAACTGGAGTAAGATTTCAGTCTACAAGCATGAGAATAATGAGATATTATAATATCAACACCAAGAGCACATACAATTTGGAAAAACTGTCAGCATTACACCTCACCTTACTGTCAAGTGCCATGGCTCTCTTCTCAGCCAGTTGAGCTGCTCTTTCACGATTCATAAATCCTGCTTTTAATTTGGCTTCAAGTTCCCTCAATTCAACACTAAAAATATTAAATAAACACTTCAATCTTTTATCTCATAAAGACTTTATTTGTATGATGGTTTTCAGAGTATAGTCCTTGTTCAGTGAGTTCACTGTAGTTTGGTATACTTTTAGATGTCCAGATAGCTGAATGCTTTCAGGGAGCACAGTCACACTAATTGTGAAAAAGTTTGCATTGTCCCAACCAAAAGTGTAACTTCTTTCAAGCCAGAGGTACAAGGTGTCACATTACACCAGAGAGGGAAAGAGAGAGTGGCTGGCGGAAACTGCTATACATACACATACATGAATATTTAATTTAGAGAAGGGTCTGACAGTTGATTTGAGGGGTTTCTTGTAACATCTGAGTGTTAAGCCAACTGTCCATTTCACATCTTTTTATAAATACACAATTTTTGGGAATAAAAAAATTTACTGGAGGGTTTTGCACCCTCTAAGAAAGGTGAATGAATATGATGGCAGGAACTTTTAAGTTCAAAGCTGTAGGGTGCTTTTATTATCTTTTTTTTTAATTGTATAATGCCTTCTTTAGCCTGGTTTTCATATGTTGGGAAAATTCTGAAGGACCTGCAATTTCACTGTTCCCAAATTGTCCCTGATTTTGGTGATATAATGGGAAATAGACAGGTCTCATTACCAAATTCTTCTGCATGCCATTTTTTATTTGTGATTCAGTGGTACTGTAGCTAGGGATGGCAGCTTAGCCATTCCTCTTTTTACCTAACACTGTGACAGTAAAAGTTTTCATAAATCCTGAATGATCAGCAATCATCACAGAATTCTGGGACATTTTCTGGATATTTTCTGGGAAAATAGAAATATTCCAGATTTTCCCAACTATCCCAGACAGTTTTCGTTTTTCTGAAACATCATGGTCTTACTGATCACATACTCACTGATTGCCTGAAATTTTCTGAACTTGTGAAAATAAGGCTCTATTTATCTCCATTCCCCCCACTGCCACCACTGACAAACAAAACTACTGTGTATATTCACTTCTTTGCAGCAAAAATATTTACCACAAATTCATACAAATCCACTGGATATTGCAGTATTAGACGATAACACATTACCTATTTTCTCGTATCTGCTGCGTCAGCTTCTCTTTTCGAAGACTCTCTAACTTCATCCTTTCAAGCTCCTGCATGATACAAAATTGATACAGATACTGGTTTAACTTTAGGTGACTGATGATCAACAAGCCAGGCACATTGACTGTACATGGCCTATCTTTTAATGAAATTAAAAAACATTTAGAGCCAAAATGTGACCTCTCAATGCTTCAAAGGGCCAACCATTTGTTTAGCATGTTATTGATCAGGCAGTTCTAGTAAATAAAATAGATGCACAAGTACATCAACACAAACTGCTTTAAACTTTGAACTTCCAAAAGTGATTAACAAGTAACATCTCCCTATAATATTCACACAATATTCAGCAAAAGGTAATGTGGATACTCAAATCTATTAAGTACAAGTTGTTAACAAATTTACAAGGAAATGAGTAGCACCTACACTGTAGAGAAAGCAAATTAACAATCAGATCTAGGGAGTTAAAGGGTTTAGACTTACTTAATACATACATTTTACATTCCACAATTTGTCATAAGTTTCTCTAGTTTTTGTACCTACCATACTCGCTCTATACTTAAAATCAACACTGACTGTATTTTGCCCTTAGACTAAGCAATGCAATCAGTGTAACAGTGTTTAAAAACAGCTCTCAGTTCAGGAAGATCCTCTGTTCAAGGTGCTAAATACCAATATTGTACACCCTGTTTAAACTCAAGCCCTAAAACCTGTACTCTACTTGGCAATACTAACTGGTTTAGGCCTAAGGGATGAAACATCCACCATTAGTATTGGGTCAGTGTGTGTACTAACCTTGGCCAGTCTTTCTTCCTGTTCTTGTTGTCTTTCCTGAAGAATCTTTTGTTCTTGTTGCTAGTGAGGAAACACAGTATCTGATGTTAATTCTGTGTAGTCTCATGTTAAATGCATGTAATACAGTTTAGGCTTCCTTAAACAGGAACCATTGCCTTTGGGAAGCAAAAAAGTTCTTAGTTGGCTGTTTCAGGCAACAGCTGGCCAATATCTGATTTCACCTTGAGGTTCATGAGTAAAGCTGTTTACTCACAGCTAAGTCTGAAGGGAGCCTTCACTGTAAATACCAAGAAAAGTGTTTTCAGTTGAGCAACAATACCAAAAATGACAAATTAATGTCCACTTTGCCAGTTTGTATCTTATTCTGTCTTTGGATGACATACATATTTTTCAGTATTAAGTGAAACAGTTTGAAATTTCAATCCAATAATCAACAATAGGAACTACAGATAATATCAAGTAAAAGAAATAAAATGGAACCAAGAATTAAATCACACAACAACTTGTTAGAGCAAGTTCCATGACAATCCTCAACTTCATCTGAGTAACTGTCACAGCCCGTTAGGCTTTTGTCCTGAGAGATCTTAAATTGCAACAAGGCATATGTCTGCGAAACATTAGATTTGTTTTCTATCTGGGGAGGGGGGTATACACTTTCAAACCAGTTTGTTTTGATTGTTCTTTTTTCCAATTTAAGATGTTGTTTAAATAAAAATTAGGAAGTAAAAACTAGAGATCAAACTGGTATGAACATGTTTAATCCCAGCAAAAAATTTAAACCAGAGCATACACATTTCTGCTATAGATATTGGGATACAGTTTGCAAACAAGAAGCCGATTACTTGATTGCTAAGTACGAAAGTGATCTACTACTTGCACGCGAAAAATTTACCCACTGTCATAAACAGATACTGAAAAGGAAAAGCCTTTACTTTTCTGATTCCTTCGTCCATTTCTCTTTCAGTCGCTTCCTGGTGAAGTCTACGTAGAAATCGTTTATTTTCTATCCTTTCTTCACTGGACATGTTAGCCTCTACAACACGTTCCTGGTTGATTCGCTTCAATTGATCTTCCCGAGCAATCTCTTTCCTTCTGTTCTCAGCAAGGAGTTTTTGCTGTTGAGCATGACTTAAGTTCATTCTTCGAACAGATGCCTTAAAGGAATTACAGAAATAATAATGCATTAAATGGATGCAATACTGAGGAAAACTCACCGTACTGAGTCATAGACAATCACCACAACTAGCAAGAAAATATCGTACAAATATGCCACTACTAACCATAATATTAACACCAAAGAAGTAAATCAAATCCAAAGCGTAAATTTAACTTCTGGGCCACTTTCAAATCTGTGAAAATGCAATATAAGCTTACTAAGACACTACTGGCTCTGATGGACCACCACAAGTACGATCTACTTGACAAATTATGTTTGTTGCTGTAACAACGAACGGGCCTCATTTACATGTTCGCCTCAGTTCTCCAAGTTTCTCCTCGGTCTCGCATCACCTCGGAACAACGACTCAGCCTGACTGGGTCAAAGTTACCGCTGAGTCCACACAAGTGCAGTCCATTGTTTTCTTGTCCAAATATAATTGTTGTCATGACAACTAGAGCGTCTCAGTGGGATTCTTTCCACGCGGAGCTTTGCACTGGAATGTCACGCGGGAAACAAAATTCTTACGTCATGCCGAGTTACCTGTTGGTTGTACCTTGCAGCTGCGGGGAATAGCAGAGGCCATTTTAATATTGTAGAAGGTTGTAATGCTTTTCATGTTGTTACACTGCACGTACCAAGCACCTCTGCACCTAAAGCACTAGCTTTGTCACTGAACTGAGTGAGGTATCCGCACAGCACAATTGAGGTGCAACTAGGCCCATGGACACCAAATCGACTTCAGATGATGAGGTTTGAGCACTTATGCCGCGCGCTTTAGACACGATAGATAGAAGTGAATTCACCCACACCCTAGCGTCCGTAACATATTGATGCTTTCTTTTCTAGGTTCGAACCTTGTTCGTGAGCGGCTTGCCAATCGATGTAAAACCTCGAGAAATATACCTCCTTTTCCGAGGCTTCAAGGTACGCTGCGCTTTCTTCGGCACAAGTGTTTTGTCGCTAATATTTTCCGTACAACATCATTTACGGCTCGGCTGAAAATGCCGAAAAGCGAGACATTAATCTTGAATGGGATTCGATAGGCATCAATCTAAATTTCTCTTAGACAAATCAGCGAAATAAATGAAGAGCTAAGTAAACTTATTTTACCGTTAAACGATTTAAATGACTGTCAATGTTTTGTAATCGACTTGGGCAAGGTCGCAGGGTTCAACTAGGTATTGAAAGAAACAAATGAATATTGAAAAGCGTTCGTTTCCCTTCGAGAAGCTTAAATGTTATAATAGCACGGTGCTATTTTCGTCTGAGCCTTACAGCTGCGACATAAGAGTTATTAGCAATAGTTGCAACAACTTTACGTAACTTTTGGTCTCCTGCAAAGTCAGCAGCACAGATTTTGGCAAATATTTGCAGTGCGTCTGGCGCCGCCATTATGAACGTACACGATTTATGGTGTTAAGCTAACTCATCTTTTATGCAAACAAATAACAAAGAAGCGGCTTGTGAGTTCTCTTTTATTCTTCACAGGAATGTACACGACCCTAAATTTTATAAATAAACGAAGAAGTCTTGCGAAGTTTGCCCAAATCAGAAACTGGCGAATTACGTTCAAAACGAAGAGGGTTGGCAATTTTGCGCAGAAATTGAAAGTTGTAATTATCACTTCGCTATGCTCACGATTCCAGGAGCAATTAAGGACAAGGAAAGCTAATTAGGTGCTCAAAAAGAATAGACAGAATTTGAAAGCGGCATGTGGTTAGAACATTTGCATGGAAGGTGATTACTTTGCGACCAAGTTGGTCAAATTAGAGATACATCTGTTACAGATCCACTTCGTAAACCAACCTGACGATTTAGCTTCGTTTTAGTTCAGGTTGTGATACATATCTGAATAAATTGTTTATACCTCGTGTAAATCAAACACCATTATCGCGACTGACTGAGAAGTAAAAGGCGAAAACCTAAGTATCGTAAATACTCGATTGACGAAACCGTAGACCTCCCATTAGTCAACAGTTGAAAAGAATTAATTTGTGCAAGGCCCGATTTTGCTAAATAGATAACGGTTTATTCACTAGACATCGAAATTCACACAATACGGTTTGAGTGATATCAGGAAAAACTATTGTTATTCCGAATTGATCTTCTTGAAAACATACCATTGTACTAGCTTCAGTCTTCTTTTACGACAAGATCAACTAACACACCGTACTCGACTTTTAAGCAATACTAAGAATATGTATCATCAATAACTCAATCATTTCCGTAGATCATAATATAACACATGTAATTTTGCTTGTTCAAGATATATTTTTGCGTTGAAGCTCAAATGTACATGTGTCCTGTGTGTTTTAACACCGGCTTGGAATACAACGATAACTGAGTAGGCATTTTTTTACGAGAAGATTTATCTCATTCTCCGGAACGAAACAATGGGTGTTTTGAAAATACATATTCAAGTTTGTTTTCAATTGATTTGCTTCCCTTCTTTGCATAAAACATAATGTTGCATTTACAAATATTCGATCCTTCGAGATCGGTCTGATATCGATCACCAACAACCCAGTATCGCCACATTAAAAAGCATTAAGATATTTTTGTACGACTCTCGTTTCATGCCAAAACCTGACAAACAATAAGTTTTGTCTCCGCTTTTTCTCTGTTGCAGTTACAACAATTTTCTGCATTTAGAGATGGTTTTGAATTCGAGATCTTTGCGTAAAATTAATTTTTTTTTCTTTCGGAATTTCTCGCAACCCACGCCAGCAAGATAATACTGTATTGAGAGCTGGCAATTTTCGCCCAGCGTGGAAGACTAAGAAAGTTTGTTATTATTGTTCCAGGGTTATGAAGGATCACTGCTTAAGCTTACAGACAAACAGGTAGGAATAATAATGATAATAGCAGGGTGGAAGAAACAATTATTAAGCCAACTGTGTCTCACTCTGTTGAATAATACATTTCTACCTTATGGTTCTCATTTCTCATTAACTCTGGGCTAAATAGACTCGCAATGGATGTAGCGTTTGAGTCTTAAACAAATTGAATCATAAAAATACGTCAGACGTAAATCTACGTGAAGTAGAATATTTGGTATCTTTTTGCAAAGGACCACTTTTCGAAACCAATTTTAACGTGTGCCGTTGAATCTTCTAACATTCTGTTCTTGGGGTGGAATTCAATCTCAGGCCTCGCTGGTTTCCAGGCCGAGTCGAAGTTTCGAATTTAAGATGCTCCACTCCATAATGACAGGAAACTCTCTAGACTGCAAAAATTCAGTCTAAGCCATCAAAAAATAATATCTTAAGAAGTTTTGAAGTTAAAGCCTTTTAACTCCTTTTGTGGGGGGTAATTAACAATGTTAATCCATCCAAAAGTGCTCAGGGTGAGTGTTGGTATGACATGAATTCCTTAAACAAAACATTCTGAGGCTTGCTGTGAGCATAGAAAACTTCCAATAGCTTTGCTGCAAAGAAAAGTATTCAACGATATAATTACCATCCCATGTGGTCTTGCAGGGCTACTGAATAAATTTTCTGTGCGGGAAATTGTTTCAATAGTGAGCCCGTAGCTTCTCTAGGTTCAATTTTTTTTAACTCACTTCCTAAATAATAATAAGAAACAAACTCCCTTGAAAAATGGCGGACATGAAAGCTATGCTCTTCATCTTTACCTTTGATTCTTCCAACAGCATGATTAAATACTGAAAAATAAAGTTTCTGACAAAATCAGACAATCGATCATTATGACCAACTTCTAAACCTCTTGTATATCTTTTTTTTGTCATTACAACAGGGAAAACCTTCGGTAAGTGTAACAGTACTTATCATTCAATTCTCTTCGTGAAACTTGTAGTTCGTTTATTGATTGTGACACTGAAAAGATGCACGCATGTGATTGGTCCTGAGAAACCATAATTGATTTGTAGATTAAAGATAAAAAAGTCAAATTACGAAAATACTTTGGCTAAGCAAATTTTACACAAACACCTTGACGATAGAAACGTATGAAATTAACTTTATGATTTCTTGGGATATTTCATAATAATTCAGAATATAATATAAGAAGTTTATGATGTTATCAAGTATACCCCCAGTGAGTTCTTTGCACTTTATAGTACCCAAACACATGTAACTGATAGGCGTTTCAGTGTGTGTCTCATTATAGCAACTTGTATTCTTAATAATTTCTGTCTAAAAACAATTCATCTTTTGACCTTAGCCTGTTGCATTCGTCACGTTTGAAAGCAGAGAGGAGGCAGAGGAGGCTAAAGCTTCGTTGCAGGTAAGAAAATAAAAAACAAGCAAGTAATTCATTGTGTGCCCTACACTGATGAACGACAGAATATAGCTCTCACCACAACTGTTCAGTTATTTACAATATTTATACAGGTTGGGCATGTTCATCTTTAGAGCTGTGTTAAATGGGGGCCTGTATAAATAAACGAAAAAAAGCTACGTTCCCTACTATTTGCGAGAAGTGCGTTTTTTTTAACGTCCCCTGCTAAACGCACGCTGGGGTTGACTAGAAAAAAAACACGCACGTACCGGTTGCAAAGTTGATATTTGGGAAGTAAAAATGTAATCTGTTGAACTACACAAACAAATTTATAAATGTTTAAAAACCCATTTTAATATGGAAAAATTTAAGACAACTATGCCCATATTTCAAAAACTAGACCAATGCCTTTTTCAAGAATACAGTTTCAATCCTGTATTTCTATCCTTAGGATAGTAAACTGAACATTTCGTACAGTTCTAATTCTTTTGTTAGTTTACTTTGCCTCAATTACGAGACTATTCATGCTTTTTTTTTCTTTTAAATATTATTATTAAGGGTGTACGATTCGATCCAGATGTCTCGCAAACGCTTCGTTTGGAGTTTGCTCGCTCTAATACCAAGGTATCCAAGCCGGTGAACAAACAGGCTGTGTTAACTTCCGTTCCACCCTTCTTTCCTCGAGAGCCTCAGCTCAGTAAGTACAAAGTTCAAATATAATACGATCTATTAACAAGTTTTATCAAGGACTTATTAGTTTGGTACGAATGATTTCAACAACATTGTCATCAGAAAAAGCATAAACAAAAAAGAGGAAAAACCTAGATAGGGATTTATTAGCATATATAACTACACTCTGACTATATGCCCGGCAGCTGAACTATTTCCACAGAATTTCCACCGAAAATTTTTCCCTTCGAGTGTCATACCCCATTCACGCCAGCAATACATGTTAAGTTAAACCGTGTTTAACTTAATAAAAATCAGAAACAGAGAAATGAAGAACTAAACTTTCCATAGGG